GCAATAGTCAATCACTGTACTGGGTGACCTTGTTACTTGGTTGTATTGTACCAAGAAGGCTGCAACCCTGTAACAATAATTATAAAGATGTATTTTTAAAATAGAGAACTGTAATACAATAATATTAGAGACTCAAAACATCATTAGATGAACTTATTTTTAGAAAAGACAAGTAACCTGCAATTGAAAAGTTACTTGATGATGAACATAAGTTAGAGCCTAATTTGGAATAACTGAAATTATGAGACATAATGTGAAACTAAAAGTTTAACAATAAGAGATACTATATAAACTTATGATGATAGCTGATTCTAGACAGAGTCTAATAAAGCCTTTTGATTCTGATAGAGGTCAGTATAATGAATTGTTTCTAAAAAGTTTAAAAGTACAAACTGAAAAAGTTTGAGATCCAGTAACTAAAGACATTAAAAACATTAGTTCAAAAATATAGAATATAAGAAAGATCTTAGCAAGATCATTAAAAGAAAAAAAAAACAAAATAATTATAATTAAAATAAATAAATTTAAAAATTAAATAAGAAATGTGATAACCTAGTAAAATAGTCAGATTATTAATTCTCCAAGTGATAGATTGGATGTTCAAATTTCATCAATAGTGAAAATTAGATAATCATTTATATAATTTTTGTATTATAATAACTGTTACTAATGATTAGATTAGAATATCTGTAATGATAATTGTATTAGTATAACTGACAAGTTATATAGCATCTATGTAACTTGTTATATAAAAAAATACAAATTGACAAATCAGACAGTGCAAATACTAGATAAGTCTTTATATCTATATAAATCTGTTAAAATTAAGTAACAAAAAATTTATTTGAAAAGATTTAAGTAAAGAGATAGTCAGATCTTCAATAGCCTTACTGTAAAGACTAGTCTAAAAAAACAAATACCAAGATTGTAATACTTGGTTATAATAACTAAATAGGTAAGAATTTTTAAGTTAGAAGTCTTAAAGGTACTACTAATTAAGCTATTAAAATGAATTAAAAAAAAAGAATATTAGACTGATCTGATATATTGATGAATTAATTATAATTTAATATGAACTATTTAAATTGGGAGTTTGATAAAAAGACAGATAAAAAAAACAGGAATATATTAAAGTACTGAGATTATGCTATAAAATAAATATTAAGATTTATATGAACTCTACAAAAGCATTATGATTAAATAATATAACTCTAATTACAAGTATTGATTTTATTATAACAATATTTAAATTAATTGTAAAAATGAATACAGAAGGCTCTGGAAGATTTACCTCAAGAATAAATTAATCTTAAGATTAAGATGATAATCTGAGCATCTGAGTATGACCTAATGAGTTAATACAGATTACAGGTTCAAAGGGTTTAAAGTAAAACATCCAAGCAGAAGTGTTAGATATGACAATTGGTAAAGAACCTTCAGGTAGATTCTTTAAATAGGTAATATAGAAAAATTACATGTATAGCCAATTGTACTCTCTCCTGTAATAGTTCATAGAATTACATTACCAATAAGTTATTAATAAAAGTCAAAAGATCAAAGAGATCACCTTAATACCAAAAAAAAAATCAAACACAAAGCAAAAATAAATATAATTTAGATCTAGATCAAATTAAAAGAACTATCACAGTGAAAGCAGAGTATGAGACTATATATTATATAATTTCATCCCTTGCAAGTGTTCTCTAGTATCACCATCAAAGTTTATGAACATGTGATATTTTTGTGGCGCAAACCAATCATATTTCAAGATCAGGGTGTAACGTAATACGAGCAGGAAAATTCAAAACAAACGTTCGTAACTTAAAAACTAGCATAAGAAACCACCTTTAATGTTATAACAAAAAATTTTCCTTGAGATTTTACTATATATCATGCTAAAACCTAATTCAAATACAAATGCTAACCTAATTTAAACGAACTTGAAGATTTTTTGGTACGTCGCAAATATGGTTACGTGTCGGTAGAATTTTGGTGGCGATACTGGGAAAGATTATCATTCTTATAGAAACTTAATGATAATTAAGAATTTTATCATTCTAATACTACTAGGAACCAAAAAAAATCTTCATATAAAGAAGCTTACAAACTAATAAATACATGCAAAAAAATTTATTACATATACATAGAGAATAGATAGATACGCGTAAAGTAAGTAAATGTGATATTCATTACTAATAAACCCTAATTCATTAAAGAATTTACAAGACATAAGCTAAACTCTAATTTACGACTGACAAGCCCAAATACATTACAAAAACTGTTCAAATTTAAACATTAAACCCGGATCTTCAACTATTAACTAGCTTGGACCTATTCAACTTAAACACATTTCCGGTTACCTTCACTCTACGGTATAATTTCACGAGATCCAATATGCGTTGGTATATTCTGTCTTCTAAGTAAGTTAGGAGGCAGATTCTTTTTTAGATTCTTTTATATGGTGAATATTAACGTTCGTTTAAAACTAAGAATGACTTTTACGGCGATTTTTTATTAGTGAAACGTCGCGTTCTTAAAAAGTACTCTAAAGTGTATAAGTAAGTTACCCGGGTAATTGCCAATTAAACGAAAGTCCTCCTATGAGGTGTTGACGTTGTAGTGTTGTTAGTCGAAATTATTTAGACATTTAGGCATTTAGACAAATTGAATTTAGACAATTTTGACTTTGTCAATTTTTAAAAAATCATTATTAAAAAAAATAAATAAACCTTAATTTAGACATTTTAAACAAATTTTGACTAACAACATTATGACGTTGAAACCAAAATTAGAAGAAAAAAATTTTTCTAATGTAAAAATCGGCATAATCGTATAGGTAAATGATATAAATTTTATTATAAAATTTATATATTACACAAAATATTATCGATTAATTACAGGCCCAGAAACTGTTAGAGCTTTAAGGAGAGTTATGTGGTTAAAAGAAGGCGAAATTGTAGGTGTCATAGTTGGGAGTACATTCACGGATGGTGCTGTTGACAAGACTGAACAGTCCAATTCCTACCCTATTATTTTAACCACTAAAACCGTCTCCCTATAATTTTTCTTAATCTCACTCTCGATATTATTACAGACAACCCTAAAATGAAACTTTGTATAGTGTAAAATAGACAAGCCACCGAAAAATACAAAATTTTGAAGTGCATTTTTGTAGTTTTTTTTTTAGCGTCAGGGTCAGCTTTAAGGGTAGAATTTATATTAAACAAGTATAAGTGGGTTTTAGAAGGTTAATAAAAACTCCAAATTTCATTGTAATCCGACTTCATTATGATCCGCGACAGATAACGTAAAAATTTCCGTATTGATCATATAGGTATTAATATATCGTGTATATTATATACAACATCGAAATACATATGCAAAAGTAAACACAATTATATATGCGCCACTAGGGACAGTTTTACTGATATGATATAAAAATAAAAAAAAAGGAATGACGATAGTTAAAGTGAAATTAATGGTTAAATATTTGAAGTCGGCTAAAAAGAAATTCGGGAAAATTTAAAAGAAAGGAATGATGTTAGTTAAAAGTGAAATTAATGATTAAGAATAAAGTCGTTATAAGGGAAATTTTGATAATCCTTCACAATAATTAACCGAATAAAATTATCATTTTGAATGGCTTGAAAAAGTTTCACTTTTACCCCCACCAATGATTTTAGATAATTTTAGAAAACGTGCGTATTATAAAGAATCCTTACCTACAGATTTAACAGAATTAGAAAATGCACTAACATAAATAATAGAATATTAATTGAAATGCTTTTGCAGCTTTTTTAGTTGATTTTCATAGTTATAAATTTATTGGTTAGTGTGTTGACCTCGTTTATCGCCAAAAATCACCATGACTTTTAGTAGGGCACTGTATAAATAAATCTGAGTTAAAATGTTAAAAATGCTTTTACAATCTCTAGTTATATTCAGGTTTAGTTTACTCTGTATATAAAATAGGATTTAATAAAAACGACACGTAAAAAAACTGCCTCAAAAAAGAGATCAAATTACAAATTATTTGTTTTCTAACAATATTACAATATTCAAATTAAAAATAATTTAAATAATTTAATTATTCTATTCAAAAAAAAAAAAAACCTTTACAGATGCTTCTATATAACCAACGATAATCCATTATAATATTTTAAAAAATAACAATATTGAAATAACTTATTTAAAATTAATAATACAAATTTATGAAACTTTTATTTGACACCCATTAAAAAATATTACTTATTATCCTGAAGTTTTTCAAGTTTTGATTTTGATATCAAATCGAGATATCTGTTAAAAAATTGATTTATATAATACGTTAATAAGAACTAAAAACTAATCGATTATCTAAAATATATAAAATACTCACTTTCCGGTACAACTATACCCATCAAAATCTATGAAATGAGTTAAATTAGATTATATTCTAATAATGGACAAAAATGATTATAAAGTTTTTTTTTTTAATTATCTTACCAAAACTGTCATCGGGATTACAATGACATCTAAGTTGTAATTTTTCATCTTTAGGACAATGGGTGAAAGGTTCGTGCTTATATCCTATTTCATTGAAAAAATGTACTTGGTGTTTCTTCAAGAAAAGAGCGGCAGCTATTGAGTGAACAGGTGCATCACCCCAACTATTATAAATAAAATAATGAGTACGGAAGGTCAACACAGAATAATAAATAGAGGAACGCATTATTTATTATTTAATTAGAGTTGTAATTATTTTATTCCAAACTGACGATGTGTTCCTTTATTCATTTTATTATCAATAAAGGTAAAAAGCTAACCGTTCGTAAAAGAATCCACCCTTTTTATCGAGGTAATTAAAGTATTGTGTATATGCTTCACCTCTCCAGAAATTCAAATCACCGATTTCAAAGTTTGACCAAAAATGGCATCTAAATAGTTAAACAATTTAATAAACGTTATTCATGCAAGAGAGAGTAGCCGAAAAGAGATTTGATTCGCAGTAGAAATTTCTAACAAACATACAAATTATACGTTTCGCCGTTATCTGATGATATAAAATCCATTAGATTATCTTTTTCAATGTATTGTGGATATTCTTTGATAAATTCTTTGACAGTATTCCAGAGGGTAGGAATAGTTTTTGGGTATTCATACAATGAGACAGTGAAAGCTAAAATTAAAAAATAGTAAAATTATTCATTAGCATTACAATATATAAAATATTAGATTAAAAAGAGAAAGTAAAAAGTAATCACCGTATTTAATATCACGATCTCTAATATAAACAAATGGATCAAAATCGATATCACAATAGAATTGAACACCAGGCTCGACACGCCAATAGTGATCATATTTATCCAACAATTCGTGTCGAAAGAAGAACCCAGATTCAAATCTGAATAAAACAAAAAATTTATGTTAGGATAAATAGTGGATGTGAAAAGAGCTCAAATAGTTAACTTACCTGCACATATGACGATAAGGTAAACTACCACCGTATAATATTTCATTTCTCATTTTTTCTAAATTTTGTTCGACAAGTTTCTTATCTATATGGCTCGGAATACTCCAGTGTTTTTCCGGAATCAAACCTGATCATATGTTATGATAAAATATTTGATAAAATATTTGTAACATATTTCACAGCGATAGTTTAATCTAATTAATTATTTCTAATATCAATATTAATTCTAATTTTAATATTTAAACGTAATTACCATATTCAGTTTTTGCGTTAGTTAGAGCACTCGTAAATTTCTTGAACTCTTCGGTGAACGGAACATCATTCAAAAACACATATGGATAGTTATAATGACGATTAAATCTGTCTTCGAGTTGTCTCATCGTCGGTCTAAAGTCATGCAAATCACCATTTCGAATCAATATTACAAAGCATGCATTCGCTTTTCCTATTTGTCTAGATAAATTTTGTTTAGGATGTCCAGGATTTTCGTTTGGTGGTAATGGAACTATCTTCAAACCGTTTTCGGGTGATGGTAGTTCAGACAAATCTAGTTGTGGATCAAACGTTGTAAATAACCAATGAAGGAGGTATATTACAACCAAGGTTAATGCTAGGTATTTGAAGTTAGATCGCCTAATCATGGTAAGATCTTTTAATATGAGAAGGAATGTGTCGCGTATTAGCTACGAACGTAGGTTAATGTAAGAGGAGCTAAGATTTAAGATTACAGAGATGATCCTTCCCACTTAGATTTAAATATGCCACGAGTTTGGTAGTAAATTTATGTATGTAATGTAGTAATTCTCCGGAATATTTTGTTTCAAACCTTAAAAAGATATCGATACGTATATATTATTTGGGCATACCGAGATTATCGACTAAATTATTAAAATGATTTATTAATTTTATATTTGTTATGTATGCAGTTCTGAATAAAGGCAGGGTTTTTTTTAACAACTAATTTAGTGCATCAAAAGGTACATATGTCAAGAACGCGTCAGTAACCGTTCTATGTAGCAAGTGCATCAAATATACGCCCGATTTTAACGATTACTGCTTACTTTGGCATTGTTAGTTTCAATGTTTCAAGACAATTAAATTTAAAAGGGAAGAATCTTAAAGAACTAGAAAAGTTTTACTAGTTCCTGAAGAAATTTTTTCCTTTTTTATTTGTCTTGTAACGTTTAGATAGATTCACGATTAGTGATTGGACCCTGTGGGTTCTACGTACTCGGGTTACCCGCGAGTATTGTTGTACATTTTGAGCGTCTCGAACTTTTTTGGCATCAACTTGTCCCATCAATTTCTTAATTAACTTAAGCTTATCAAATACGTATCAAAAAAGTATCAAAAGGAATGATATCGATATATTTGATATGTCTATACGGAAGGTAGGTAACATAAGTCCTCCTTTGCATAAAGGCAGGAGTTTAAAGAAGAAAAATAGCGCATTGTTTTAGAATATAACTATTAAAAAGTTTCTATGATTTTTCATCCAAAGAGTTCAACTATTTAATACTATAAATCGAATTCTTGTAAAAACTAGTGCTAGTGTCTATAGTCGACTCTAATTTATCGACTTGGCTAAGGCCGTCTCCCTCAATGAAACTCTTGGTGAATGGTGTGACTAGTGATTGGAATCAAACTATATACTAAATCATATGATCTTTAGCCGCATTAGCCAGCCGATCATATTACATTGGCTGGCTAAGCCGGCTAGGCCGGCTTAGCAGCGGCTGCTGTAGCCGGCTTAAATCACTAACTGGGAATACCCGTCAGTCCACCCTGATCAGCCCGACGGGTTGAACGGGTTCAATCACTTCGCGGAGCGATTAATTTCAACAATAGCGATAGTGGTTAAATTAATTCACCACTCTGGTTTAATTTCATACCAGCGTCTTTAGTGATAACGAATTAAGGGCGTTCTCAAGCGCCTCAATAAATAAATTTTACTTAGCAGAAAATATTTTGAGGGTCAATTATCAAATAATATGTGAGTTATCATTTCAATTTACATCTTTTTTAATCCTGGCTTGGTAAAATTTACAATTAATTGAGTATTTAAAAAGATCGCACAAATAATTTTATTATGCAACAACCGAATATTAACGAACTAAAAGTAGTGATAACGACATTTGATAAAATATTAATGGTAAAATTCTTATTTTGATTTGATTGATTATAGTAAATAAATGAGCATCGTCACGTTTATTAGTTAATCGTATAGAGGATAACGTTTGTGCAAACTTTGATTACTTCTTAATTTGCTTATTCGATTCATTATCAAAAATTTTACCTTAATATAATTATATCCATTGCATATTCGCGTAACAGATATGTGTATTGGAATTTAATGTTAGACCTTTAGACCTTAACATTAGTGTAATTATATTTAGTGTTCCTACCGTTATCCATTTATCCATCGGAAATTCGAATTGCTTTTCAAATATCTTAGCAGTAAATTGGTTAATAACCGATGTAAAACCTTTATAACTAAAGACTTTGTATTAAGGTTTTACAAGATCCAGTAAATACAAGCACAAAAATCGAAGACACTCCTATTTCGAAGCACCTTATCGTATTATTTTGGCATTATTTTAATCGTTCTTATCATTGGCAATAATGCAAATTTTTTCACAACGATATTCTAATCTTGTTGAAACTATGGCTTGCAACACGTATACAGTCAACACTTTCTATAACGAACTGATGGTTCTTAAAGAAAAAAAGTTCTCTAGAGAAAATTACTATGTTTACTTAAGGACCCATTGCGCTTTCTATACCGAACTATTATAAAAACTTTCTATAAAATTTTGAGTTCGTTATATTCAGAATCGACCGTATTGTTTTTAATCGAAATGTCATAAATGAATAACATCAACGTGGCACCAAACAAAATCTGTAAAGTGTTATTCAATATATCATTCGCTAAATAATTCAACGTAATATTTATAACGAATGACCTATCTCCCCTATTAGGTTAAACATTTGGGGCTTTTTATATTGTTTATATCAAAACATTAGAATTCGTGGCTAAAAGAAAAAAAACAGACATTTGAATATGGTTTTATAATTTTAATATTTCGAAAATCTTCTCTGCAATTTTCAGAAATATATTAAATATGACAGAATTAACTTTAGTTCAATATAGTCTCATTCTTTTTGGATTAATAATTGTATGTATCATTAATAGCATATGGTAAAAAAAAAAGTCGATAACATTCAATTTATTATAAATTTTCTTTTATATAGTTTGTAATTGAAATAATTGCAATTATTGAAGTTTGTAAATCGAGTAAATCTATTGGTTTTAAGACGTTATGGATATTAGTTATTCTATGTATTCCTTTAATGGGTTTGATGTGTTACTTGTGAGTATTCTGTTAATCATGTAATCTCTACCGATACGAATGATTTTTAATATTAATATTTGTGTATTATTGATTTAAGCTTACTATCAAATCGAAACGAGCATCCTTTTGAAGAATTGGTTTGATGCTCTGAATTTTTATTTCATTATGATTCAATTGGAAATTATTATACTGTATATGCAATTGACTCTTAATATTCATAGTAAATTTTAAAAAAATTAGTTATTGAAAAGAATTCAATGCATCATAGACTGGTCTAAATTCAATTTTCTTTCTTACATCGAGAACCTCTTATATTACAACCAGAGTTATCTGATAAGAATTCGTCATTAAAATGATTTATCTCGTGAAAATCGCGAATTTAGGAACGTTAATTGACTTTACGACTCTATTCATTAATCAGTTTGTGTAATCCTTACGCGGGTATGATAGTTTCGTTACCCCGCGCGAAGCATATATCTAGTCACCGCTGTATGTTATTTGATTTTCTAGATGTCTACAGTCTTAGCTGTAAGATTATAATGGAAAAAATCTCGCGATTGTGATTATATATTCGTTTGAAAGATCTTATATCAGACGAATGTGTAACCGACATTTAAACGTATTTTAACTCATCATAGAGGTAAAATTTCAAAAAATTATCCAATAGCTTTGTAATCTTTACAAAATTTTCTTTTACAATATGCAAATTTTCAAAAGCTTGCATAATTTTTTTTAGCAATTTGAAAATAAATAACGTGATTTCAGATAGCATCATAAAATTTTCACATTTTAAAATAAAATGTAATTACTTTAAATTTTAATATATATTATATATATTATTTAACTCCCATTTTGTCCCAGGCATTCAATTATTCGGATAACCTGGAAACTGGAGATAAGTCCAATCTCTGAATAGAAACTATTATAGCTGTATTGGTACACTAACCGAGCTTTAATTTAATGTGTAATTAATTATTTTGAGTTTTGCTAATTTGTCGTAATTGTATCAAAATATTATATATTAATATTATTTCTTCACAAAGTTAATCGATCTAAAATTTTTAATATAAGTCAAACCTCGTCATGATAAATTGAATTTATTTAAATTCAAAATTTCACACTTCATTATATTAAGACTTGATGGTATTTCCAATATCATTTGTATTTGGATGATAAACACTGAATAAAATAATAAAATCAGCATAAAAATTCAAATAATCATTTAAACAAATTGTTTCTCAAAATAAATTAAAAAATAATAAACTCACGTAAATAATACCAATCCAACTACGATAAGCAATATAAGTCCCAAAATCCAACAAATTGTACAACAAATAGTTCGGCTAACTTTGAGAGCCACATAAACTAAGATCTATAGACTTGCCAGTAAAAAGAGATTAAATTCATTAATTTATATAAACACAACCGACCAAATTTTATAATTGGAAAGTTTCCAACTGCTTACCACTATACCTATAACACATAAAGCGATATAAATGTAGTGAGGTATTGCTAGCTCCATTATTATTATAATTATTACTATTATTATTATTTATTAACAAATTATCAATTGTTAAACAAAAATCCAATAGAGTCTTCTTTCAGAATTACGAATGGAAAGAAAAAACTTTATCGATACGTATAACCAAAATATATACATACGTATATATATATATATAATATATATATATAGATTTTGTCTTATTTTAGATATATACATATATATATATATTTAAATAAGCAATCACAACCACATTTGATTTCATTTTGATATCTCATGATATACGTAGTATTCATGCAAATAATCATTTACCATTCAAGTCAATTTTTCTAAAACGTGAGACAACATACGTACGTATAAAACGTGCGACATTGCACTAATAATAAATAGACCAATAAGGATATATAACATATATTTATTATGTAGATATCTAAAGCTAACACTAATGCTAATTTGTTTTTTATTTCTATATAATTACTAAATTGACATATTCTTATCTGTCGTATTTGGCCCATCTAAAAAGTTTAAATTTTAATTCTTTCATAATGATTTTACAGTAAATAAGTGTACGAATTTGGATTTTTAACAATAAACATTAAGTACGTATACATACGTATACAAATGTGTTCGTACCAACATACATACGTACAGAAAGCGACTTCTTAAATGGTGGTTCGGACTTGTTATTAAATGGACCGTGATTTACTCATCCTTGGTATTACAGGAGAAAGGTTACTGCTACAGTTAGTTATACGTATACGCATGTATTAAACGTACTTACGTATTAAGTATATATATGTACAATATATAGGGATAATTATAAAAAAGACTATTTAATACAGTATTATGGTCATACAAAATTAATTTCTTGCCCCTTCAAAAGTATATATATGTATGTTGTTTTTACCAACAAAAATAATTTTATATGGTGTTTGAACTATGTAAATGCATAAGTAAGGATAGATATTCTATCTAACCGATTATTGACCCATGATTCTACAGTTTTAGATTGTATATTTATCGTATCTTGAATCAGTTATATTTTTGCAAAGCGCAATAAATTCATTCATATTTATTTATCGGTAAAAGTCTTAAACTTCGATTCTTGAATTATATGGAGGCCACATCTTTTTGCAAGCGAAATAATAGATTAATTGTCTAAAAAAAATATCAATAACAGCTGCTTTTCTTACATTCTGGAACACTTTGAAAAATTATTGACCGTTTTTGATCTAGTAACTTAGATTCGTTCGGTCCTTTACAAATTTCCAGTCGTTCTGAAATTTATGAAAACATCTGTAATTGATTTAAACTATTTATGGCCGCAAAAAGATGTGATCCAATAATTTTGAGATAATTCCAAAGGTTTTGGATTTTCTATTATTCCGAATCTTATCGACTCCAAATAAATATAAATATAACTGACCGAAATATGATTAATAAAGAATCTAGGATCTTTGATCACATCTTTTTTGCATATATGAATATATACATTTTGATCAGTTATATTTGCAATCGATAAAATTAACATCTACAGACGTTTTCCAATCTTAAGTGAAATAGCACGAAAATTTCTTGCAATTCCTGCAACAAGCACACAAAATGAACGCCTACTTTCAGATGCAAGAAATGTTATAAATGCGAAGAGAACGTTATAAATAAAGATACTAGTAAAATTAAACCAAAGTGGTGAATTAATTTCACCACTATCGCTATTAGTGAAATTGGCGAAATTTTATGAAATTAATTCACCAGCATCATTCACCAGCATCTCTAGTTATAAAATTCAAAGCTATTTAGCATAATGATATTTCTAAAACGCAATTGGAATTAAACGAATTGCAAGTACATATAAATTGTATAGTACAATTGATAACTCTAAATTTTTTTTATATATAAACTCAAACATTCGAATATTCAATCAACATTTCTTCACTGATGCAGAGTTTGTAATCTTTAATAACGATAATAATTCTCATTTAACTCAAAAACTTCTGTAACTCAATTAAGTTTATCACTCCGAAATGATTGAAAATGATGTAAGAATCAATGTGCGGCACAATGGCTACCTATATAATTGATATGATGTAAAATTCACCTTTTTCGGTAAAAATTCTTTTTTCTTTTTTTTTTTTGAAATTTCGAAATTTAAACAAGAATGATTCAGACGAATGTAGGAAATATATCACTATCGAATATTGATATTTCACAACTAAAACCAATTATCGAACGATTCATGTCGTATCCGGATTCGAGAATTAAAGATTTCTTAGTTGAACGTGAAATTCGAAGAATCCAAAATCAAGCTCAAATATTTGAAAATTTAACGATATCATCGATTGATCGAAGTAAATCTTTGTCTAAATCTTACGAACTTTTACTTAAAGGATTTGAAAAAAATAAACCTTCATTACGTGGTTTGACAAAATTTCTTCAAAATTCAAGTTCCATTAGTTCATTTTTAAATTCTGAATTAACTACTACAAAAATGTTTCAAGAATGTGAAAGAATTCGTATGGCTTATTATGATATATCAAAAAATTTATCAAATATTTCAGATAATTTAGAGGATCGAGTACGTGAGTTTAAAATTCAGAAATTCGATCTTGACCGGGAAGCTTTAAATTTGCAATCTGAAGCAAAACAAGCTCAAGCAGAATGTATAATCTTAGGTGGATCTTTTGGTGTATTTGTTGGTATTATTGCTGGAGTCGGTGTAGGCACTTATACGATCCCATTTGACGGTGGTGTTGTGTTTTTATCAACTATTATTGCAAGTATGGGGGCTGGTTCTTTGTTCGGACAAATATTAGAAGAAAAGATTAATCAATCCGCTCGAATTAAATTTGCAAAAGCAGAAAAAATTTACGAAAAAGTTGATTACGTTAATAAAGTTATTGAAGACGTTGAATCGTTTAAATCTGGTGTTCAGAAATTCGAAAGATTTTGGACTGGACATGTTGAACATTTTACAAGTGTGCAAAGAATAATTGATAATTCCTCCAAAGGAGTTGATACTGACTTGAAATCTATTAATGTTCAGACCATTTTTAATGATTGGAATAGAGCCAAGAATTCTTTATATAATTATGGAATCAGTGTAGAAAGGCTTCAAATTTGACAAAGTAAAAAAAATAAAGATGAATTAACGAATTCGTATCAAGAAATTTTCTTATTCATTTTAATTGTTAAGATACTACAGTGATGTATCAATAATAACTTATAATTCTTTTTTTTTCATTATTTGAGGCATGAATTCAAGCTTGACGTGGTCTGATTTATTTTTAACGAACGAAATATTCAAAATTTAAAGAACCTGTAACATTAATGTTTAATGATCTTTTTGCGTTCAAACTTAGTTAAATAATCGAATATGCCTATGTGCGTTATTGCCAATTTCCAAGACTGATTATATAAGATATTCGTTGTTTTGGAACTACAGTGAGCGTTATTTCGAAATCAAGCCTGTTTCACGATTTTACGGTGACATATTATGTATTATGTCGTTAAACTATTAATATCATATAAGTGCGAAATAACTCTCATGGGCGTTACTTTAAAATTCATATTCTTCACAATAACACGAGTTAACGCGCATCACAATGTAACTGATGATTATACTTGAGAAAAAAATTGATCTAAAATCTTTTTTAAAAAAATGAAACGTAATACATTCAAAAGTTAAAATACTTAGCTTTTTACTAAAATACTAAAGTCAAAATTGTATAGCTTTGTCGATATTATAAATGAGATGATCTAACATAGCGCACCACCATTAACTCTAAAAGCATACCAACATGGTAAACTCTAACCAACAACAATACGGAAAGAAGCGAACATAACGAAATATACCAACAAAGATCTAATAACACTGAAGCATGAAACTATGGACAGAATCTCTACCAACGATAGTACCGAAATGACGATGCCATAAAATCTCTATTTACGATGGCATTGAAACCTGGAATCTCTCCAACGACGAAACTTAAAATCTCTACTAACCGACAAAATTGCACACTAAGAAACGATGATTTCGACGACAAAATTGGAAAACAATAATTATAAAAAACTGCATTCTGCTCTTCTACTCGTTGATACCGAAATTTCTAACAAATAGAAATTTTTATTAATAAAACCAATAAATTATAATCTATTAAGCGAACAAAAAAAGCAAAAAGTACTAAATGCGAAGTTAATAATAATAAATACAAAACAAATATTTACAAAACCCTTACCTAAAAGAATACTTGGTTTCAGCTAAACAATTAGCTTACTCGTCCTAACCACCACGTAGCGGTGTATCCTATGACTAGGTTTTAGGGTTCTGCAAATGCCCATACCAGGCATATTAGGCACTACGTAGCTGGTAGTATCTTGTTAGACACTTTATTGGCACAGGCAGGCAGTAAAGTACTGGCATTTTACATCCCCGTGTCAACCAATGCCAAATTCTTCGTGCCTGTGTCCATACCCGTGCCAAATTTTTGTGTCTGTGCCTATGCCCATGCCTAAGATTTTGTACCTATGCCTTGCCTATTCTTTGTTAGGCATGGGCACCCGCCCGACTTGCAGATCCCTACTAGGTTTATAACAACCTGAAGTTCTATTCTAAATAGAACGTAAGCAATAAATAACATGTTCAATAACATGAAATATTAACAAGTTTAGAGTTTGGCACATTGTATATTTAAGAGCTGACTATAAAAAAGGACCACCTGAAACAGAAAACTCACAAAAGCTTATAGAAAAAAATCTATTCTAACAAAAAACTAATATAAAAAATATTGTTTCAATTGGTTTTGAATAAATTTATCAAAAAAAACAGTTACAAAGAGACTGTCGCGTTTGATTCGTTAAAGGTAATGTTTTTAATATTTAGTATGAATTCGAAAATAAAAAAAGAAAATATTAACGTTAAGCAATTTTCAATTGTTTGATAAATATAAAAATCGTGTGCATCAGTGTTTACAAAATTAATTACGGGTCATGAGTTCCTCTAAAAAAAAGTCAGCCTAGTTTACAAATGTTTAGTAATTGATATTAGGTTTTACGAACATTAAATCAAAATGAAAACCCTCTTCAAAGACTAGTACATCACTCATATAGTTGGAAAACGTCTAAAGTGGAATAGATTCTTATTTTATTGAATTACTTTAGGGTTAGAGTCATCTTATATTAGGGTTATGTTAGGTTTTATGTGGTTATATATAAGCAAAATTGCCTTTCCAACATTTTTAATTAACCTACTTTAGACTGCCGTTTTGTATTTTTCCGGTTTGCTTCTAATTTATGTCACATGATTCTGCTCCGGCTTCAATAGTTTGGTCTACAGTAAAGAATAAAAAAATCATCAGTTTCAGACTCAATGTAATGTAAAGCTAAAAATTAATTTCTGTATGACCTTGTTAATTTTGCGGAGTTAACTTGTTATAATTGACGATTTAATAGAAAAAGTTATTATGTCCTCATACTAACCCGATGAATCTTTATAATGGTGAATAACAATAATTTTGACTCAAAATGTCAAGAGGTTGGCATAAAGAAGATTGCCATGAGAGTCATTAATAGTTTCATCATGTATTATTGGTTTTATCATGCGTCATGGGTTTGTCAATCGCCAATGGTGTCAGCCGAAACCATTGCGTTATTGCAAAAATAGTTAACAGAAAAACCCAAGACATTTAGAAAGAAGCAACTCGCCTCCAACAAATCTTTAGTATTCGACCGAAAGAGTTGTTGTACCAAACTCAATACTTTACAGTTAGTTGTTCATATCATCAAGTTTATCAATAAAGAATATCTGTCTTTAATTAAAAATTTAGAAATTGACAGAGCAAATTTTCCTAAGGGACGGAAATGTTATAGAACAGTTTTATCGCATTATTTTATTATTTTATTAGTATTATATTAGTTATTATTTATTATATTAGTTATCTTAGAGTAGGATTTAAAGAACATGTATAACGATTAACGATTAACGATTACGTAACGATTAACGATTAACGATTAATGCTTATCGTCGCCAATAAGATCATTAGATCAGGTGTAACGTGAAAATCACGCTTTTTTTAAAAAAAAATAGACGATAACTAAAAATTTTGACTATTAAATCACTTTCTGCGCTCTAATAAAAAAAATTCCTCATGAAATTTTGGTATAGAACATGCTCATTGTAATCCCTATACCAACCCTAACATGAGGTTTTAGTACTTTAAAATATTACGCATATTAAAGTTGTTTTGATTATTCGAAAAGATCTGATTGGTGCATATACGACGATCTTTCATGGTAGTGCTATGCCTGTACAACCCCAAAAAATATATATAGACGCGTTACATATTTGGAAGATTCTCTAATTTATACATAACCAATTATGTTCTTGCAACTTGCAACTGTTCAAGCTCTTAAAGTTTTTTTACTTATATGGAAACAGGACCCTGCCTCTTAATACTACAGCCTAGGAATTTTTTTCCAATTAATTTTCTTGTATACCTTGGAATCCTTTACTGATATTACATCAGAAGTAGACCAGATTCCAGGTAGCATTTCTGTAGAAGATACAGAAACTGTAGTTCAAGACGAATTAACTCAAATTTTAACTCCCCAATCACAAAGTTATCCAAATCTTTTTATTGGCCTGAAATGTTCTACTGAAACTAGTAATATTACATCATTAATAGAAGTAAACCAGATTTCAAGTAACATTTTTGTAGAAGAAGATATAGAAACAAAAAATTATCAAAAAGTTCAAGACAATCTAACTTAAACCTTAAATCCTCAAACACAAAGTCATCCAAATTTTTTTATTAGCCTGAAGTATTCTACTGAAACTAGTGATATTACATCACTAATGAATACCTCATATGCAGAACCTATCGACATAGATTTAATTAAAGAACCAGAAATAGACAAAGTTTATCAAAAAATTCAAGATGAACTAACCCAATCCTTAATTCCCCAACCACAAAGTCACCCAAATCCTTTTATTGATGGAACTTGGAAAGACCAACTAAAAAAAATCTTAAACAAATTAAAAGACAAAGACTGTGTTCTAAAAAAACAGATCAAGACTATTGAAGCATATCTGTATTTAGGAATCCTTATTCAGTAATACAAAACTGAAGAGTTACAAATTCAAGAGATAATTGAAAAATTAGAAGAACTCAGAAAAACCTGAGAAATTTGAAAAAAAACAATTCATCTCCAAGAAATCTTTAGGATTTAATCTAAAAAAATTTTGTACCAAAATAAATATAAACCTAAATACCTAACAATTACTAATATCATTAAATTAATTGATAATGAGTATTAGTCTTTAATTGAAGATTTAAAAATTTATAGAACAAATTTTCTTAAGAGGATGGAAATGTTATAAAACAGTTTTATTATAGTTGGTGATAGAATTACAGCATTCTACCATATAGTAGAATTAATTATGACATAACATATAATTACTATAATTATGTGACAGAACCAAAATTCAAAAAATCTACCAAAATTCAGGATCGGTATACATCAGAACATTTCAGTATTACTTAATGCAACCTGTTCTCAATCCAAGCTTTTGATTGATATGCTTAATTTTAATTCTGTATTTATAATCACAGCAATTATAGCAAAAAATATGACACATGCCATAGTAGAATTAATTTTAAACTATAAGTTTTATTACATTATTTTTTACAGAGTATAGAGCAAATTTTCTTAAGAGGATAGAGATGTTATAGAACAGTTTATTACATTATTTTATTATTGTATTAGTATTATATTAGTTATTATTTATTATATAAGTTATTATTTATTATATTAAAGCTGCTCAATACGATAGTATCAAGGCAGCTTTTGTCTCGAATTAACTATAACTAGGCATGTGACATGCCCTATTACAGTCACATGATAATGTGACTTAGTATTTTTGATCGTATTAGTAATAAATTAGACTAGTAAAATTATGTGGTAATAATTGCGTTTAGTATTTGATCAGGGTAATTATGAGGTAATTATTGCGATTAGTAAATCAGTGGTAATATTGTCATATTGAGTCTATTTGATTTTAGTATTTAAGCTGTTAATTCACTGTTTATTGAGAATGATGACCTGTCGCGACAACAGTCATGTGATATTTATTTTAGTCTTGATGTTCATTCACAGGATAATATAACATTACATTGGTTATGGCCTGTCGGGACGACAGTCATTTTAGAATTTAAAAAAAAATAAGAATAAAAAAAAATAAAAATAAAAAATATATATATCGTATTTGATTCTATGAAATTTGCATGGGATGCTCGACGCGGAAGGAATAAAACCCGTATGTTATTCTTTGATTATTTACAAGCGTATGAGAGACAAAACAATATATGATGTTTGAAGTGGGTTTGTCCGCGAAATCTTAAGCTTGATTGGTCCGCATGATTTATTCATCAAATTTTGGTTATTCATCAAATTTTGGTTATTCATCATGCATATAGATCAACGGCATTTGGATATGTAATTACAGAGTATATAATTTGAATACAAAAAAATGCAAACGGAAGCGGTGTGTCGTGGTTGCGATAACTAAAGATAGTAAAAGCAAGAATTTTAGACGCAAAATTTGGTAACCCTGTGCAAATTAATTTGCGTATTTACCTAATATTTGGCATTTTTTATTTTTTTCGTAGGATTTTTTATTGGGTTGATTAAATGATAATCAATGATCGTCAAAGGCAATAGTAAAATAATTTTTTGGATAACCTGATAAGTTATTATATGATGTCTTGCAAACTTTTGTTTGATTAGTTAATGTGAGTCAATTGCCTATAGTATATATCAAATGCTTCACAATATATTAATGAGAT